CTAACGAGCCCAACTGGTGAAGTAAATCCTGTGTTAGCTGATGCGTTTGGCTATTACCCCTTGCCCGGGTTGTTGGTAACCAGTAGTCTGGGTACGGATTGAGGTGTACCGACATCTGGTGAAGCAGCAGCACTACCTGTTTCATCCCTCTGGTGAACACGTAGGGCCCTGTGCCTAACCCGAACGGGGGGGGGGGGGGTGGAGGCACCGAAGTTCGAATACTTGGCCCAGCTGGGCGATTCGAAGGAGATGGCAACTCGCTAGGTGCATCAGTACGTGCAGGTAGGCCCCGCTTAAGTCTAGCAGGGCTAGCCAGTCAAAACGGTGGATGGAGACAGGGATGTGTGGCCATGTGTTCGGCAGTTGCGAGGGGGGGGTGCTCCCTTCCCCCATGAGGTGAGTTCCCCAAGGACTGAAGTAGTCACTAAGTTGTGACCTGGCCACTCACCGAACACGTGCCTGTCCCCCCCGGTTGCAGAGGTGAGCGTCAAACATGCTTCCCCTGCTGCCGGGTAGACGTCCGCCCAGAGAGGGTGAGGAGCCACCACCTGGCTCTTACCTCCCTGGGGGCGCGCCACTACCCTTCCCTCCCATGGAAGGGTATAAGCGCTTGCCTCCTGGCTGACTCTGGCTAGCGGACAACGCCCTAAGGTGTTGTGTTTTTTGTGCTTGGGGTGCCCTCAGCTTGCCCATGGCAGGACCAACTGGCTAGTGGATTCGATCTGAACCCTCTGATTCATTGCACTCTGAAGCTCCGAGACTGTACCCACCATTCCCTGAACAAAGAGGGTGGAGGGTATCCAGTCTGCATCACTGAGGTGGGGACGTACCCCGGCTCAGCTTGTCGGCGAAAACACATGCGTCTAAGGCCGCGTCTCGTAGCACAGTAGTGGCCCTGGCCAAGCGAGCCAGGCAACACTAGGGGGTGTCGCACGTAGATGTGCGGTGGCCCACCAGTAAAAATGTCGCCTGGTCTAGGAGGCTGGTGCGTTCTGCCTCCAAGGTCACCAGAGTGCTGGGCACGCATAATAATGCGCTCAAGCAACTCTGCCCTCAGGGCTAGATGGGTCGTCCTCAATTGGCAAAGACACCCATGGAACGCGGCTATCCCCCTTTGCCCGGTTTGCCAAATTCATGGTACCGGGGTCTGGGGAAGGAGCCTTGGAATTCGGTTGGGGGTGTTTTGGTCTCATCCCACGCTATGGGGTCTGATCCCGAAATACACCGACCGGGTAGCGTTTGGTCCAGTGGGAAATGTTGCCTAACGTTATCCCCACCCGGGGGCCTTAAGCATTACATCCTCCGCGGCTGACCAACGCTGCCCATCAACACCGTTTGCGTGCTCTGCGCCCCACTCCGCACTCAGACGGACAGGGGAGAGATGTGCCGACGGGGTTGCTTTGGATCCCGACGCCCGTGATCCCATAAGCGTTGAAGCAACCTTAGGTGGTCGCTTTAGGATCAAGGGTGGGGGTATATACATCGTATCACTGGGATCGATGATACTCCGCCTCACCCCAAAAGCGTGGCTCACCGAGTAATATAGATGGAAGACTCTGAGGGACCGCCCGGAGTACCGGCTGTATCCAACGCGAGTGAACTGTGTCTCCTCTAACTTAAAATATGTGAGAGGGAGCGTGTTCGACTGTGCGTCTCATGACAGGGTCGGTTCCCTCTGGGGACGCCCGTGGGCAGAAAGGAGTCAAAACCCACAGCGGGGACCGGACACAAGGATAAATTCGTTACCGTTGTACCGTTACCGCGTGACGAACCCTAGCTGGCTGAAAGTGGGGGGGGGTCAACGTGTGCCCTGCCCTGAAAGCCCTGCCCCGCGATCGGAGACTTGGCTGCCAGCACCCCGTTGGCATTCAGTGCCTGCGGATCCAGAGAAGGACCGGTGCAATTAGCCTGAGCCTCGGCCACCCCCCAAAATAGTGGGAGAGCCGTGACTGGGAACGGGGGTTCCCCGGAAGAGACGTGTTTGAATGCAAACATGCTTTCGTGTCTCTTCCTGCTTGCCCACCGAGGGGACACAGTGGAGACAGCTCGCTCCGACTGCGTCTGATCTACCCGGCCTGCCAGGGACGCAATTGGCCCGACAGTCCTTCGACCAAAGCCCTCAACTCGGAGGCAAACCCGGTGCCGTGCGAGGAAGGGTCCACAAAGAGACCCGCAACGGGCCCCATAGGAGGAAAGCCTCCAGGGGCA